TGGGGCAAGAAGCACACACGCCCCTCTCCTTCGTAGCGCTGCTGCTGCTGCTGCTGGTGGTGCTGGTGGTGGTGTCACAGCATGGAAAATCCCCTGCTGCCGAATGTGATGGCGAGCATCAGCTTCTTGCGCAGCTCGTCGCAATTTGGGTACTCGGGGAGGTCGATCTTGTTGAAGCATGTGTGTGCCTGTGGCAGCAGGTCGGCGCTGTCCTCCCACTTCGTGATGGTGAAGCGCTGGGCGGCGCCGCTCGCCGACTCGAGGTTGCTGAAGCCGCCGTGCGGCACCTTCGACGCGCCCGTGGAGAACTGCAGCAGGTTTGCGCGGTCCTCCTTCGTCATGGACGCGACCACCTCCCAGAACCAGCGTATCTGCGGCGACGTGGCGGTGAAGCCCTCATACACCGTGTGCACGCGCAGGTCCTCCACGTCAATGTCGGGCATGCCGCAAATAACAAGCTCCAGCTCCTGTGCCGTGAAGTTGCGGATCTCCTTGCGCGGGATGACGGTGTAGAAGCCCTTGAGGAAATCCTCCATCTGCTGCTCGATCTGCCGCGTCATGTGGAACTCGCAGCGAAGCCGCACGTACTGCGACTTGTTCGCGTTCGTCACCGCGGTGTGGGCGCCGTTCGGCACGAGCTCCGACTCCTGCACCTCGCCGAACCGCTCGCAGCTGACGGTGAAGAAGAGGCCAAGGTCGCTCACGTCGTTCTTCAGCAGCCAGTTGAGGTTTTCGTACAGCTCCGGGTCGACGCTCTCCAGGTCGCGGAATATCGGCTGCACGCCCGTCATGTGGCGGTACACCGCGCGGGTGAAGTGCACGTCAATCGGCACGCCGTGCGCGACTGCCATGCCGACAACGGTGCCGGCAAACTTGAAGTAGAGCAGATGGCTCGAGTTCACATCAGAGAAAGGGTTCGGCTGGTACGTCATCCCCTCGCGTGAGTGGATGAAGAGGGCGTAGTTGTCATTCACCATCTCCTCCGACAGCAGCTGGAACCACTCGCGCGTGAGGCCACCTGCGTCGGCGCCCTCCTCACCGCGGAAGCGCACATTCAGTGGACCGTGGAAACTCCTCAGCTTCGACAGCTGTGCAAAACTATCGCGCAGGCACTGATCGCGGCTGATGCTCAGGCTGATGCGGGGACCCTGTGTGGCGTAGCTGATGTGCCGCTGGAAGTCCAGCAGGCGTATGTTGAAGTCAATGAAACCAGGCTCTGCCTTGAGGAATATAAAGTTATCCTCCAGGAGTTTGGGGTCGTGCTGAATGAGGGCGTTGATCGTCACTTTGTTGCGCTCCACAAACTGCCTCACCACACGTGGGAGTACTGGGCGCTCATCGCGTGAAGAGTCATTCGGACCGCCACCCGTACCGCCTTCAGGTGCTGAAGGATGCTGCAGGCCTCTCTGTTGTTGTTGCTCCTTACGCCTAATGGCATTCTCGGCGGCATCTGAAACGCTCGACGGTGTGTGCGTTGTGTCCAACATGAAACGCTCCGTCTCCGTCTTCTCCATCGCAAGGCTACTGAGACTTTCGTTCGTGAGACTCGCGGAGTACATCGCACGTCTTGATTCCGCCATGTGGAACTGGCAGAACCCGTTCACCAAGAGCAGAACGGCGTGTGGCAGCAACACAGAGGAACGGTTGGGCAGCCGCTGCAGAATAGATGCCACCTCGGCGAGGTACATCTGAGACGCGTGCCACATGAGAGACACCTCACGCGGCTCAGGGCGGTGTGTCTCCGCGTATGGCAGAAACAGTGCGTGTGACTTTGACAAGGAGCCGGTCAGGTTGAGATGGAACAGCGCACCGCTTGCCTCCTGCGCCGACCAATGCCGTGTCATCGCATCGCCGGCGCCGCCGAGTGTTGCCTCTGCGCTGTGTGAGGACGCCCCTCTACCTGGGAAGGCGGCGCGGAAGGCCCTGACGCGTGCGTGAATCTCCGCCGTGAGCTCCGTTGCGAGCCCCACAATGAGGCGCTCCACCACCGCGATTGGGGCGTCGTGGTCGCACAAGTTCGTGTCACAGCGCGCGCTCTCCTTAATGCCGCGGCGTATGTATCCCACCGTCTGGAGTGCAATCTCATCCGTGCAGTTCGGGTGCTGCAGTAGGCGCAGCGCCGCCTGCGTTGTCCCCTTGGATGACACGAGTGCGTAGGCCCAACGCCGCATGCGCTGCACCTCCTCCTTCTCCGTCAGACGCACCAAACTGCACGCCGGGCATAGATCAAAGCGGCATGGATCGCAGTGGAACGCGAGAGTATCGGCAAATTGCACGGTGCTGCAGCGATTGCAGACGTAGACACCGTCCGCGTAAGGATAGCGGTAGAGATGCTGCCATTGCAACCGGTGCACGTGTCGCGGGTGCAGTATGACGGTGTCAGAGAGCGGCGTGTGATCGTCCCCGCCCGCACTGGGGGGAGGCATCACGCCGCCCCCAAGCGCGCGCAACTGCTTGTTGAGCCGCTTCATGATGCGACCAAACATCATCTCCACGCGTGGGGAGGGGAAACGTAGCACGAGCTCCGTCAGCCGGCGAAAAACACCAGCCTCCATCGCCTTCTGTTCCGCCGCATCGAGTGGCTCATCGACGGGTTTTAGTGGCCCGCCCTCATCGACGCCGTCGGGGAGCGTTGTGAAACTCAGGCCCACTGCACGGCATCGTTCAATGAGCTTCTCCAGTACGAGCATCACCTGCGCAGCAACGGGGCCGCAGTCATGGGCTGCATTGCCACCAGCAACTGCTGCCGCCACCGCCGCTGGAGGCCCCTTGAGCACCACATCGAGGAGCCCCAGTATCGAATCCATCGCACTTCTGGCATTCACACACGCGGTGGTGAGCAGCTGCACAAGCTGCGCGGTGACGGAGAGGTTCGAAGAGGAGGCGCTCACGCGCTCCAGCGTGGCGGAACTTCCTCGCACGAGCCAAATAAG